AAGCAACGGATAGAAACTGAACATGAAATGCGGCGAGGATATGTAATAATGCACTTCACATGCATTTGCACATGTAAGGGCGTTACTTATCTGGGCCATGCGTACGCATTCTTGCAGAGGAGTGTTCCACTTTCCTGGTGTTCAGTTTCTGTCGAGTTCACCCTTCTGTTCCTAGCTTAAAGAACGGTAACTGTTTAATTGTCAACGTACTTCAAAGTGTCAGTTTTATTTATGGCTAGAAAACAGATAACTATTCTATTTTATTATCATCACTCTTTAAATTTTTCAGTTTAAAGCTATAATGTTCTATAGTCCTACAACTTAACTTTTTCACCGTCGGGAATTACCAAGACATCATTTCTCCTTGCAGTTATATCAAAATGATATTAAGAAGACAAGTGATCAGGATACAGGAAGATATCAAATGGGAAAGTTCATGCCATCCCAAATCAAATTCTCCAAAATGGCACTGTAAGAGATGTATGGCAGACAACAAGGAGAATTTCTCTTGAGATCTTGGGAGGGAAGTGGTTCAGAGTATCAGCAAGACGCGTGTGATAAACGTGCTAAGATCACGAGCCTTTGTTTTAGCGTAGCCAAAACATGTGATTTGTTAGAGCACGTTACATAGGAGATGCTCAAAAAATTGTAGTGGCATTTTTAAAGCAGGCTCAAAACAAGTATGAACTAAAATTTGAAGGAAATTTCTCCTTTCCCTAAAGTCAGACAAACAGAGTCCGTGGGTGAGGAGGATTGGAAGAGCAGACCAGTAAACAACTGAGAGCCTGGCGCAGAGTGAGAGAGACAATGAAACAATCCGTTCACCTGCGCTTGGGAGAACATTCAACAAGATATCGACCTACACAAGTCGTGAAGCGGGAAGAGATTCTTCTGTTATTTGTTTTCTCGTGCGTTCTTCTGAAATGCTTTCAAGTTGAAACACTTGATCCAAAACCATTAATCAAACAGCATGAAGGCAAAAAGCGGTGCGTCTACTTTGACACTAACGGAAAGAGAACCATCGGCTATGGTTTTAACATGGAAAAGAATAACGCAAGAGAAGAGTTTATCAAAGCACTCCCGAAAGGGAAGTTCCAGGGTGACGCCGGCAGAAAGCTATTCGACACGTTTTTGAAGGGTCCTGTAACCAAAGGGTGTAAAGAATGTCGATGCTGCTCCGTTCCTTGCCTCGACGATGGCTTTATTGAAAGGCTCCTGGACAGTAGCTTGGAAACGGCTATTGCTGACGCTCGAGCTGTAATCGGCGAGAGGACCTTCAACGCTCTTTGCTGTTCTGTGCAGAATGCCATAGTCGACATGGCATATAATCTTGGCCGGACAAAGTTTTTAAAGTTTGAAAAGTTTAAAGCCGCGATCGAGAATAGAAACTGGATAAAAGCAGCAGATGAAGCTGTGGATTCTACATGGTGCAAGCAAGTCAAGACACGATGCACGACCATCTCCGGAATTATCAGAGCTGGATGCCCATAATCACACAAGTAACTCAGTTTATCCCTTGAAATCCACTATTTTTGTTCAATCAGTTTGCCATGTTTCCTAGGTTAAGAGAGCAATCAGCGTTGTTGTAGAAGATTGTAGTCCCGACACACTCATATTTTGTTGTTTGGTAGTTCTTCTCGCTTAACTAGACATAACGTACGCAATTTTGTTTCAACCTAGGCGTGAGTTTTAAGTGAAAAGAAACATGTACGGCCAGAAGGGGCAGTGAAAAGCCTTACTATTTTCACCGCCACATTTTCAAATATAAAATATTTCATTGCTGTATTTTGATTGAATGTATTTCATGATGGCACTCGGGCTTAACTACACTTAGCAACGTACGTTGTTATTTGCATTAGAGATCGTATTGTTCCGATCGGATTGTTTCTTGTGTCTAAGGGTGCGTGGAAAAGTGTTTTGCCATGTATCAAACATTTCCTTGGAGTAAATACAGGTCAAGATTTGACATTTAATGGGACTAGCTGGAGTTTCAACCAATCAAGTCGCAAGTGGAGACAAAAGGATCAAAGTTCGTTCATTTTGGATCGCGAAAACGTTAATTTTACCCAGTGCAGCCCTCGCACTCGGTTAGTAAGAAGTTAATCCATTTGCTATCTGCTAATTGCATTTATGTCAATTGTTTTTCAGATCTTATATTATGGATACTGAATTGCTGAGATGCTTGTGACTGAAGATCTTCAACAAGGTATGCAGTCCGCGAGATCTTACAATTGCTCTTAATGTGCACTAGTATTTCATTATGGGATGTATCAAAGCAGTATGCTATAAATGGAAGAAATAAAAACGGGTACAACGGAGAAATTAAGTTCCACGGTAATTTTAATGCATATTAGTTAACTGCATGACATGCA